GAGGGTCGATTCCGCCTAACTAGTCCTTGCTAGCAGATCCCCTGCGATGGCAAATTGGTACTACCGTCCCCCCCTCCCCCCCTCCTGCACAGTCCTCTTCCGATCTCTCCGAGCCAGAGAATTTCTGAAACACACAATAAGTCAAAACTGCCATCAGCTTGCTTCTAAACAACACCTTCGAGAGGAGAAGCCTTTGACAGTTCCTCCGACGAGTGGTTGATGTTGGCATTTGTTATCAAATCAGGCTATTTCCGAGTGCCTCCGCTTCTCGTGAAAAGATTTTTGGCTTATCTCCTAGCCGGGGATATTCATTGTTTGCATCTTTAAAATTTCTACAACACTTGATGAGTCAAAACTCTGCCATCAGCTTGCTTCCAAACAACCATCGAAGGGTGTGGGAGCTTTCGTCGATAGTTTTTCCAGGTCTTCGAAAGGGAAAGCCTTTGACAGTTTTTTTCCGACGAGTGGTTGCTGTTGGCATTTGCTACCAATATAGGCAACTCCCGAGTGCCTTCGCCTACCATAGAAAAATCTTTAGCATTTTCGTTGGTGAGATTTCGGTAAAAGTTGCACCACGATAACTTTATGCAATTTTTGATTTTGGCAATTTCCTCGGCGGGATTTCTGCAGAATTTTGCATCGCGATGATTTTAGGCTTCGTATATCATCGGATTTTTTTTGTTTTTTGCAGGATTGGATCAGCTTGTCGTAACTAACCAAATGGAAGTATGAGTGATTATACGATAGGTTTCAGTCAATATCCCAACAATGTGGTAAGTTTCTGCTCGAAATTTTGGAATTTGAGAGTTTACCGATTACAACAGCTTTGGCCGATTTTTTGCCCCTTGCAATGCTTGAGGGACCACCACAGTCGTCGTGTCCCCCTTCTGCCGCTTCCAACCTTACCCCCTGACATCCGAGGCACCACAACCTACCTTTCGGTGAAGCCAGTCGTTCTAAGTGTAATTTTAAAAGAACAATTTTTAAAATAACTCTCAAAGAGAAGTGTTTTTTTTTTGCTTGTTAAAAAAAAGTGTTTGCACTGTTGTTTCAGGATGAATTTCATCCGTTTGTGGAGGCGCTACTGCCGTATGTGAAGGATTTCAGCTACGTCTGGTTCAATTTGCAGGCCGCAAAACGACGT